TTAATGGATACATATGTTCTGGTCACAACTGTCTAAGGAGGTCCCAAACTTGAAAGAGATTCCCTCTCACTTCCTGTTGTGTTTCCAGGACAGTAAGTGATTGGAAATCTCCCCAACAGGGCACAAACACCAAAAAAAAGAAAAGAAAAGAAAAAAAAATGTACTCTCCACACTATCCAGAACAAAAAAAAAGTGTTGACAGTAACATACATAAGACAACTAACATAATCATAACAACACACACAGACACATAACATATTCTCAGTTATCTACATATAAATATTTCCTATTACAGGGAAGCGCTATCCCATCAGAAATTATTTTTGGAAAATATTAACACAATAATGATAACAAAAATCATTATTTTGCAATGGTGAGGATTTCTTAAAACTGTGGAATTTGTTTCTCTCAGTAGCAACACCCGGCTTTGTGTTTCACGGACAGGCTGCAATGTGTGAAACAAGAGAGTTTTATCATAATAACAGATGGTAGGTTATTTCAGTAGATACCTCAAAGTGTTAAAATGAAAGCTGTGTGTTGCAGTGACAGATATCTGTTTCTTTTTACAGTGGCAGCAGAGATAACCATATACACAGTCAGCAACTGTTCTCATGTTCTAGGATTGTCTTTTATAAAACTCCTTCTGTTGCACAAGTTTAACTCTGAAGCATATTATTAAACCAAAATTCAAACAATACCTTCTAATGTCTGGTTCTCTTGAGTTTGGCACACCGAAATCTGCAGAAGCAGAAAGAGAAATATTGCAATAAAAAAAAGACGGACACACAAAATTCCCAGTTATATCAAGCAGAACACATTTATAAACACATTTATAAAATGGGAGATAAACCTGGGAAACGACTAGATTGGTAATAAAGTAAAATTTTGGTTTTATCTTGTGCAATAATATGTTGGCTGTCAGACTGTAAAACATGGTCATCTAACAATATTGATGCATTTAGAAAATCTGGCCTTGAGGGAATGCCCTCTGACACATTATAAAACACTTCAGTACTTCTGCATCACACCCCACGGCTCTCTTGATTGGATGGAGGCTGGCTCCGTGACACCCTGTAGAGCAGGATTCTCAAACTCAATTCACTCAGGGGACACTTGACAATTTTTTTTTCTCCCATTGGGACTACTTGCCAAATTTCATACTTTAAAATAAACTGTAACTATATCCGATATGGTATTATGGACACTAATATACTCACAATAAGGCCCCATTCATATCTGTATAGATTAGGTGCAGTTAGGGATTCCTGTGTCAGGCAGCATTTTCCTACAGCAGGAGTCCCTAATCTGGTGTTTACAAGCGGCAGCTGTCACCCATTTAAGTTAATGATCAGGTGACAGCCGCTGTATGTAAACACCTGCACACCACATGTAATGGTATGTAATATGAAGGGGCAGACTGACCACCGAGGGCCTGCGGCCACTAGGGGGCCCCGTCACTGGCACACACCCCCTGCTGCCCTTTAGGTGCATATCACACGTGAGGTTTGCATACCTCATGTGTGATATGCACCCAAATCCCCACTCCAGTCTTGGATTATTCAGTTTCCCTGTCAATTCTCCTACTAATTCTCCTGCAATTCAGGATAATTTGCAGAATCTCTGTCAAAATAGCTGAACCAGAAAAATTCTACCATTTAGCTCACTTTCCAGATCGCTTATATTGGTCTAGATTTTCAAATTCTCCTACCAATTCACATTTAAGTTAATAGACCTGCTTTTTTGAAAAAAGTGTGGAGAAATAATTTCTATAACACAAGACTGTATATGTGGGTGGGGCTTGTGGATGGGTGGGGCTTTGTATATGGGCAGATCATAAGGGGGGCCCCATCAACTCGTATTGCCCATGTGTTGTCAGTCCGTCCCTGGTTGTGAACAGATCATCCATAACAGAATCAAATAAAAAATGAAAATAGAGGAATGAGATGCAATCCTCCGGTATGAGATGTGGGGAATCCTTTGGCCCGTGCTGCACCTTCACCTGATTGAAGGACTTGTGAAGGTGCTGTGTATCCACCGAATAATCCGGGAACAGCATAAGCCTAGTATTCTCGAAGCAAAGGTCACCTTGGCTCCTGGCCTCCCGGAGCACCACACCCCGATCACATGTTATGATCTCCAGTATGGCGTGAGCGAGAGGATTTATGCCCTATGGACATGCTCCAGATGCGGTATGTAAGACAAAGGAGCTGGAGATGTCTTGGAAGATCCGCAGGAAGGATAAATAACGGAGAATTACACCTGATGGGCAGCAGAGGTCAGAGAGACACGTCTGCTCAGGTCGCCATCTTGGACACGGTCGCAAATGTTTATTCTTTAAAGTGACACTAAACTCAGGAGTTACATTTTAAAAATACAATCAAGTACCTTAACTATTAACAAAAATGTATCTTATTTGTGTATCACTCAGCTGTAGGTCCTCAAATCATCTCTGAATTCATGCTGACACTGTCCTTCCTTCTGGAGGGTGGCTACTTTTGTTCCCCATGGTTCCTGTGTGTGTGGTAAAGTAGTCACCGCTCCAAGCTCACTCCTGTGATAGACTATAATTTCAGTACAATTTAGTGAACTAAATGTGAGATTGTAGTCCATCCAGGGAGTGAGCATTTGGTTCAGTTTGGTTTTGTGCTGCCCTAGACAAAACTAAACTTAGGCACCCCCATCTAAACTTGCTCCACCCCTTCCTGTTTAAGACATTTTGCACCACCTGTCATTTGCTGGATACAGCACGCACACTGTATCCAGCTTCTGACAGGTTGTGCTATTAGCATAGTGGGGAAGCCCACTGTGCATTTTGCTTAATCTGTCAGAAGCTGGATACAGCGAGTGCTTGTTTAAATAGTAACAGGCCCGAGCTGAATCACTTCTACCAGCGTCGGAGAGAGGAGGCTGAGCTTGTTGGTGGATTCGGGTAAGGATATACATACTGTTTTTACTATTACTCGCAGGTGAGGCTCTGCCTCACTGGCTTGGGGGCGGATTTTTTTACCCCCCTGCCAAGTGCCCACCCCTGGAAAGTGCCGCCCAAGGCAAATGCCTAGTTTGCTTTGCGCTAGATATGCCTCTGCGGTAGATATGTCTTTATTATATATGTACACTCACAGGCCACTTTTTTAGGTACACCTGTTCATTTAGCATCTAGACATGGTGAAGATAAATGCAAAGTAATGCACTTTGGAGTAAAAAATAGGCACCTGGGCTATACAGTTATGAGTATGCCACTAGGGAAGTCAGAAATGGAAAAAGATTTGGGGTTCATTGCTGTAAAAAAAGCAAGTAGAGTCCTGTCCTGTATTAAGAAGGGAATGTATTGCAAAGACAAGTCTATAATTTTGCCACTTTACAGATCACTGGTTCGGCCTCATCTGGAGTATGCGGTCCAGTTTTGGTCACCAGTCCAGAGAAAGGATGTCCTTGAGCTGGAAAGAGTCCAGCGTAGGGCAACCAAACTCATTAAGGGGATGGAGGACCAGAGCTATTAGACAAGGCTACTAAATTTAAATAAGTTCTCGTTGGAAGTAAGGAGATTAAGGGGGGATATGATTTTTATGTACAAAATGTTCAATGGTGATAGCAACATTAACAAAAAACTATTTACGGTTAACCGCATAAGAAAGACTAGAGGCCACCATCTAAAATTGGTGGAGAAAAAATTTCAGCACAAGGGGCGCAGGGGGTTCTTCTCAGTTAGAGTGGTTAGGGTCTGGAACTCGCTGCCACATGCAGTGATTTCAGCTAAGAATGTGTGATCATTCAAGAAGCTCTTGGACGATTTCCTTAGAGACCATAACAGGTACAGGTACTCCTAAGAACAAGATCACACATGGACTCATACACACGCACACACCAGCAGAGGCATAAATGCATACACGCAATAGGTTGGACTTGATGGACTTGTGTCTTTATTCAACCTCAAATACTATGTAAGACGACTTGATGAAGTTCAAATCGAGCACCAGAATGGGGAAGAAAGGGTATTTAAGTGACTTTGAACGTGGCATGGTTGTTGGTACCAGACGGGCTGGTCTGAGTATTTCAAAAATTGCTGATCTACTGGGATTTTCATGAACATCCATCTCTAAGGTTTACAGAGAATGGTCCGAAAAAGAGAAATGATCCAGTGAGCGGCAGTTGTTTGGACGAAAATGCCTTGTTGATGTCAGAGGTCAAAAGGTATTCTGCAACCAAGGTGTGCAGAATACCATCTCTGAATGCACAACACATTGAACCTTGAATCAGATGGGCTACAGCAGCAGAAGACTATACCGGGTGCCACTCCTTTCAGCTAGGAACAGGAAACAGAGGCTACAATTCGCACAGGCTCACCAAAATTGGACAATAGAAGATTGGAAAAACATTGCCTGGTCTGAGGAGTCTCGATTTCAGCTGCGACATTCAGATGGTAGGGTCAGAATTTGGCGTTAACAACGAAAGCATTGATCCATCCTGCCTTGTATCGATGGTTTAAGCTGGTGGTGGTGGTGTAATGGTATGGGGGATATTTTCTTGGCACACTTTGGGTTTGTGATGCTATCATGTCAATATGGACCAAAATCTCTGAGGAATGTTTCCAACATCTTATTGAAGCTATGCCACGAATAATTAAGGCAGTTCTGAAGGCAAAAGGGGGTCCAACCTGGTACTAGCAAGGTGTACCTAATAAAGTGGCCGGTGAGTGTGTTTACTTCATTATAGTCAGGGCACTGAAAACATACTTGCAGGGTGAAAACCTATAGCCATAGGCTGCTAGCCCTTCCACAAGGGGGAGTGGTAGGCAGCAGCAAATGGAGGGGGCTATTTCTACATGTTTTATACTTTTTAAGTTTGTTTCAATGCTTACATTTTTTTTTTTCCTCAACAGACCATCCCTGCTCTGGTCAAGCAAACACAGGCAGGGATGGCAAGGCTGTAACTAAAACACTTACAAACATTAATTCTAATGAACTGCTGGGTGTCAAGGATGTACCACTGGCTGGAGGTGGCACAATATGTGCTTGAGGTAGTAGCCTGCCTTGCTGCAAATGTCATATCAGAGAGGGCCTTCAGTGCAGTGTGGAGAGGAAGTGGGGATTTGTGACTGGGATGCTGACTTTTAATAAAACCAATCCGAACCACTACAGATGTTACTGATAAAATCAATACATTTATATTATATATGTTTAAGGCCTCATTCACACAAGAAAAGGCCAGCATGTACAGCTCCGTTTACGGCTGTATCAGGCAGCTCTTGGGGTGAGCGGAGGGTGGCGTATGGCCGCGTACTCCCATAGAGAAGGACAGGGGCTGCGTACTAATCACACGCAGCACCTGTCCTTCCCGGGAGCTGCCCGATGCGGCCGTGCACGCAGTACGGAGCTGTACGTGCCGGCCTTTTCTCGTGTGAATGAGGCCTTAATGGGCATGTGGCAGGGGATTGTGTTGCACCTGGGGCGAGGGTGTGTTATGTTTTGGATGCACAGTGTTTTTACATTTTTAAAAAGGAAGAGTAAGGTACTGCAAAAAAAGCAGCTCTTGAATGGACTGTTAGCAACATATGCCTTATGAGCTCTAATCACCCAAGCTAACAGTTATAATCTAAAAAAAAAAGGAATACCCTAATTAATAGGAAAAAGTAGCTAGGGTCTTGAAAATTAAAGAGCTAGCTATCAATTAATTGTTGTGGACAGATATTGGTCCTTAAAATTAGTTTTGGGTGTACAGATCTGTACACACAGACAGGA